GGTGGCTTTTGCATTTGCCAAGGTTAGGTTAGGTGAGGTTGGATTAGGTTAGGTTGTATTAGGTTAGGTAAGGTTGGGTTAGGTTAGGTTAGGTTAGGTGAGGTTTGATTATGTTAGGTAAGGTTAGTTAGGTTAGGTTCAGTTAGGTTAGGTTACACCGTGTATATTGAACGGTATCCACTTCACGCCCATGGCGCCACGTCGTGTTTCGTCCATGTGATCTGCGTCGGCTATCTAGCATCGTACGCATAATAATACAACGGCTTTGACGCCAGTTTTTGGCGTCTATCTCAAATTCGCTCTCAATGTTATGCAACGGTTTGAGACTCACACGTGTGATACTGTGATGGCGTCGCGGCGCTCGGCGTCGGTTTTCTAGTTCAATATCACTTCAATATAGAGACTTCACAGATGTAAATTTCGCGTCTGCTGAAGCAGTCGCGATGGTTGGCGTCGCGACGCCGAGCGTCGCTTTCTTAAAGTCGCTCCCAATGATATCCCAACTGTTTGAGACGCTCACGTGTGATACTTTTTTACTTGTTACAAGTTGCCGTCTTCGAAACGTTTGCTATCAGAATTTTTGTAAATGTTCCAATGCTCACTTTTCTTTTCTGGATGAACATTTTTGTTTACTGATGTCTGCAATTTATGTTCTTCTCTGAGACAAAGAAAATTCTTTACCACAAGAATTTATACGATCCCACAAAAGCGGTTATCGAGTTACATGGCACGGTGCTAGAGGCATGTAATTATTACATATAAACCACTTCAAAAACTGGCCGCACACTTTCTCCAACCAGAAGGTCGTGGCAATACCGGAAGTGACATCACCGTGGAAGAAGCTACTTACTAAACAAGATGTAATCCTGCAAGTGGACGGGTACATATGTTTCCAGTCCCCAGGTGTCCGACAGTGCTTGTGTAATCCACGCGAGTTGGCTTTCGTTAGCCTTGTTTCCTACAAGAACATACGGTTCTGTAGCACTGCACAGCACCATGTTGCCGAGTAACATGGGCCGTTATAACTCACTGAAACATCGTTTGTTGTCGTTATTTATGATATGCGATGGCTGAGCAACCAGCTCAACTCGGGTTAATGTCATCTGCAATATAATACTAACTAATGAACACTTACGCAACATACATTTACCTACGGTCTTGTAAACCAACGCATGCAATTCTTCACTGAATTATGAGGACGTGTGACGTATAGTTGTGGACAACAACATTAAAGGAATTCCAAGACCCGATCCTAAACACACTCACTGGACATGCCTCTTGCTACCTAGCCTCGGATTGTGACTGTCAAAAACACATCGCCACATCATAATGCATGGCCGCGTAATTGAAGATAGACTATCCTCATTAATGTGACACTTGCACAAAGCCACATGTCTTTGTTAAAGTTACTAAAATTCATAAGGTTTTCTGTCTTAACTTACTGAAGGACAACCTTAGTGAGCTTTATTTATAAATGCACCATCTTGCAAACTGCATGTACTTTAACTTGTACAATGCGTACAAAAAGAAGAGAAAAACTGATAGGTTTCAAGGGGATGCCAAAAGCTTGAACGACATGTTGGACAGTTAATCTGCGATGCTTTTTTTCATACATAAACGAATTTTGGTCCGACCCTGTCTGCCTGCCCGTCCGTCTGTTTTTTCATACAATTCAGCTCTAGTGGACGGATGTGGACGAAATTCAGTATGGCCCTTGAGACATCGAGGTGTGCCCAAATTTCGGAGTTTTGAAATTCATATAGTCCGTAATACCATTATGGCAGAGAGACAAACTTCTGAGGTGGGCTCAATATTACCGCCACTTAAAATAGGTCCAAAAAGTCCACTTGTCATTCCTTGAGTGATACAAAATAACAGCACGGTAGCGGCAAGAAGGAAAAAAATTCACTTGACTAAGATTCGATGTCACAACCTCATTTTTGAAGAATATTGAGGGCAAACCTTATGTAGTACATGAGTATATGTATGATGTGATATTTTTTATTTCAGCTAAGATCATTCAGAATTCTGAATTTTCAAAGAATGCATGTGTTTATTCTGGTACGATTACGCATTCCCATTCCTTCGTTTTCTGGAATTATCGTAGTGATTTGGACACGAGTCAAAAGTATGAAACCTAACACATCCACTTACTGATCTATTATAATTTTTAATACATTTACCTATGAGGTAAATACTTCGAGAGATATATCTTTCGTAAACTTCCTGACTAGCTGAGGGACTGTCACCTTCTCAAGAAAGGCTCTGCTCCACGGAATTAGTCACAAAAAAGTAAATAAAAGAATTATAAGAAGAAAACAGCAGATACACTGAGAACTTTGTGCCTTCGGTTTCCTCACGTGACCTGATTGTTGTCATTCTCACACTGTCATATGTTTTAACGAAGGAGAACACACCGAACGTAATAAAGGGCGCTGGTAGTCGTGGCATGCTGGGGAATGAAGGAAGAAAACTAAAAGAGATGGGCATGAGTGGACAACATCGGGAAGGGTGACGCGGCAGATTTCGACAATGGCCTGGAAATAAAGCATTTCACATCAATATTACGTGACCAGAATTCCTGGCATTACATCATCAGCTGAAGAGAGGTGACGGGATGTTTGTGTTTCTTCTGGGTCTGGTCTGGGGGAGAACACAGCAGTGCACTTTCGTGGCACGTGGACAATGCTGCTTTACTGTGGCTACAACAAATATATGAGAAGTACAACAACGGGTGTCAGTGAAAGTGAAGAGAGTTTCAATGTCTTAATCAGTAAGTGGTCAAGTACAGACATGGTCTATCAACATTAGTTAACGTTTTATTGTTGTTCCACCCCCATTAATTTTAACTTACATAAAGCCTAGTCATTCTTGAGTTTCTTCAGTCTCTACTGGTCACAGCAACACCAACAAGTAGGGCACAATCCCATCGTTCCATACTCCTCTTCTAGCGACAAGTCTACACGGAGCCAAAACTCAAGAGATCTTCATCCTCAGGGCCGACAAAACTTGAAATCTCACTATGTGAGATGAGGTTCTAACGGCTGTGAGGATAATGATGATTTTCAGTGACCTCAGGATCGCGTTAAATGATGGGTTTAAGTTTTAGCGGTGTGACACGTTACTATTTTGCCGCCAGAATGTAATTGCAGATGTAACTGGAATGAGTGGAACTGTAGAGTAATACGCTTAAGGAATTCTTGTCTTGGTTAGACCCTCAAAGTACCCTTTCAACGAAATGTTGGCGCAGAAGCAATTCAGAATGAGTGCAATAAAAACGACAGTAAGTGAAGCGTATCTCACTGATTGTTTGTTTGTTTGTTCAGTTACCAAAAAAAACTGACACATAATGAAGTGGCGTTAGTATTGTCTGCTGGCAAGAATCCGGCGCATTCGTACATCACGACTACCACTGACCCATATGAACCAGGAAACACATTTCAATATTACATCACTGTCATACTATAACAAATTAAATATCCTAATCGTTCACAAAATTACACAAAACTACAAAATTGTAAGTTTGAAATAACTGTTCATAATGGTAGACAGGCAGATAAGTCGGAACACTGCTAAGAAGCTACTGTTTCGGAGAGCAGAGTATGCCAGCGGTTGCGCTGGTATTCTGAAAAAAAGTCGTCGGAATGTGGGTAGCCGACACGTATAAAATGTCATAATCATTATTAGTATTTCAAAAACATAAATTGTCGTTCTATGAAAGTATCGGGTGAATGCAAGCAGAAATCAGTTAATTCATAACATGCGGTTAAATGATTCGCATGTTGTAAGTTTCTGCTTGCTTCTACAAACCACAACTACAAACACCTTTCAGTAGTCTGTCGAATAAACAAAAAGGCTCGAATAAATTATGTTCCAAAAGTTTTTAATTTATTTCCATTTCTCTTAATTTTATTTATTTTCCTTTTATGCTCGTTCTCTAAGCGGTATCCTTCCTCTGGCTCTATTTCTGTTTGTCATTTCAGTGAGCTCCATTTCTCACCCCTGCTCTTTATAAAAAGTTTATCATTACTGCCATATCATTGTGTATCCATCCAGCCAGCAGATATCCAATGAGTGCCAGGAACAAAACACAGGGCCGCGAAATTGACCACTGGCCTGTAGTATGGACGTAGAAGTGTATGTTTAACTTAACTGTTACATATTCGGCGACGATCCGATCAGCTGATCAGAAACCCATATATGTGGTCTATATGAAGATGAATGCGTAAATTAATTAGTTAATTAACGAACAAATAATTTACAGACAGACACATAGAAGTGAGTGTCTGTGTACATCGAGTACTTGTACATGTGACAGCCTTTACACATGTATTACACTCATCATGTTTAAAAATTCAATGATTCTATTTCATTTTATACAGTAAGTCCCAAAAAAAATGGGTTGCTTTGAGAATGTGGACAGCAGATTTATAAAAAGAGGTCAAATAATTAGCTATCAAAAAATAGGTACATACATGCGGGGAAAGGAGTTTTCGAAAAATACTGAAAATACTGAAGCCCCTAGACAAATTATCAACCTATTATCTCTCCATTTACTATGCCTAGAACTAGGCCATTCCAGATTAAGTTTAATGTGCTTCATAAAACCTAGAGATCATTTTTCACTGATTCCTTTAATTTACCTATAAAGTATCTTAATGAGATCAGTAACTTACACCTACCAAATTTTGAAGATCATTTTAACCACTGAATATTTCTAGTAGACTCTCACTTTGAAATACTCCTATCTGGTCCCACACAAATATTATGTCACAATCGCATGTATAAAATTGCATGCTGAATCATTTTGAAATATTTTAGAGAACAAATTAGTCTTCACGTGCGTGTGCCGTACTGGACTACGGTAATTAAGAGAAGCTCCTGAAATGGGAGAGTTCAAGCAATGGACCTCGTGGGACTAGGTGGAAAGATGCGCGCAGCAGTGGGAGTGAAGTGGGGAAGGGGAGGGGCTTGTCTATATAAAGATGAGACCGATCTTCACATGGGTATAGCAAGACTTCTCAAAGTGCGGATAAATTAACCAGAGACATCTTCGGGACTATTTCATTCTTGGTGTATTATTCGTCAAGAGTTAAAACATATTCAGGTATGTAGCATGTGAAGTAGAATACATTATATGGTCAAAGAAAGAGTAGAGCTCTAGAATGTAAATGTTTAATTTTGTTTTATTTTTGTTCAAAAATACGTATCTGAGTGAAAGGAATTCGTTCCTTGAAGGTTTTTCATCACGAAACAATGGGCTTCCCCTTCATTTAAAGAAAACAAATTTGAGAAATACTTCCTATAATTTAAAAAAGTAATTAAAAGTATACAGTGCAATTGATAATAAACTAATAGTATTCAGTATCGATGGATAATTGACTTAATGGTTGTAGTGATCACTGGTAAAAGCCATGTCCGCGGTTCTAAGGGTAGGTTTGTCATATTTTCGTTTTACGGAATATTCGTTAATAGAACGTTCGTAAATCGGTCAGTTAGAAGATTTTAAATTACTAAAAAATTAACAACTTTATAGGAAGGGCTTCATAATGGAGTGGCGCAAGTTTTACTTTCTCCGACGTCTGTTCACATTTTTAAGTGTGTCCTCCGTGGATTCATTCTCTTAAATATGGCGATAGAAGTCATAAATAGAAATATATTACTTGAAAAGCTAACTTCCTCTTCTTAAATCATACACATTTATTTTCGAAATATAACGTGATAGAAAATAATTACTTCTCCAATAGCATGTTATACGCCGTCTGAAAGAGAGGTGGTTAGTTATGCGTCGCCCACAGTGAAGAGTACCTTTTAACATTCCGCAACGTTAAGGACACTACACACGGCCTTCGGTCTACTAACTTCTGTACCAGCACACACACACAAGAGCTAAATCGAAGGTTGTATTTTATATGGTGATCTTCATACAATGGGATGATACTGAGAAGAACACACCTCTTCGCACCCACAAAACGAGGTCACCTACGTAATTCCGTTCATGCAATTAATCCTTTCGGACATCAGCTGAGTCAACAGTTCCTCACAGAGACCGAGTCCCAAAAGTCAGGTTTTTACTCCATATCGAGGAGGGTGTTAGTCCGAAGAAACTTTATTGAATAAAATCTCGATAAATTTCATATTCTATGTATTATACAAAGCTACAGTCGCGCCGACATTTAAAGACGCTCGCCCCGTCTGCGTGTGACAGTCGGAATGAAGCAGCGCTGTTGTACTCACTGTAGTACGTACATGGCATTGAAGAAGATCCAGGAGGATATTGGGATACAACTGGAGGAGCGTCTCTTGACGAAAGAGTAGAAATAATGTACAATCGAGTAGACAGGTCGCATAGACTAACATGTGTCTTAAAAAATGAACACATCTCTCATTCTGGTAGCAGAAAACAGACATGAAAACCACCGCTCACCATAATTTTGAGTCACTTTATATAGAAACATAATATATAATATATAAAGAGCCTGATTATCTGGTAACGTGATCTCATTCCGTCGCTCCGTCGCGAATGCTGTCCAGCCATGACAGAAATATTTACGTCACATTAATGGCTAAACTTTTGCAGTTCGATGAGTGTCGTTAAATAGCCAAATAATCAATCGATCTATCGATAATTATTTATTTTATTTTAAGAATATTTACTTTCTACCCCCCACCTGGTTCTGCAGTATTAAAATTTACTATGTTCTGTCTTCTAGCCCCTAGTAGCAGTAATAACAGGTCTATTACTGAACAATTCTGTTATATAAACGAAAGAAAAATATATGAGAAATGCATCCTGCTACAAAGAACACAAAATTTGGTCACAGAGAAAGGGGATACAAAACTACACTTAAACAGAGATATGTGTCTACATATAATTCCTTGCTCTGTAAATGTGCAGGCATACAAAAACAAAACATTACACATATTGAAAAAAACTAACGATGATAAACCAGCATGTGTGTGTGTGTATTATGAATTCTATTTACGAAAGATAAGATATCGCCTTTTTATAACTATAGCTTCCGCGTATAAAATTTATTATAATAACTCGTAGCACATCTGAAGCCTTGTGGCGGAACAACGGTAAACGCGAGGTCCGAAGTTACATCCTCGACATTTACAAAGACCATCAGTCTGTGTAAGCAAATGCCGGGAAAGGATCATAAACAGGTCACGGTTACAGCCTTTACAATTCACAATGTACGGTAATCGTATCATTCAACATTCGCAACGGATGTAATTAAAAGGCCTTAGCGAAATACAGCAGAAGTAAATACATAACTCAACGTATGTGTTAAGTAAATAGGCTATTAACTTCACGGCACCAAAATTTATGTTCCCAGGAATTTTTAAATTTATTTAAACAAGATTATGGATGAGAAGCATGTTTACTTGCTGCTAATTTTTGGGAAGAAAAGTAACAAATAAAAAGTGCACTCACTCAAAGACTAAGAGCAGACCAAATCCTGGGAATGTTTGCCACCACGCAGCACAGAATACTTTGTATTGCCGTTTGCTATTTAAAAACAACCGTCGAAGCATCTGCAAAATCATAATGTCTCATTACTGTCGGCTGAACAACAGCCATACAGGGCAAATTAAAGTGCATCAACCGTAATTCATGTTCCTGTATTCTTCAGCATTCGTGTTGGATTATTTTTTAACACAACTTCTAAACCACGATGCATAATTTACCGTTAAATTTGGTTTTTATTACACAGAATACAGTAGAATGAAGATTAAGATATATATTCGATTATAGATTTTTTATATTATATTACAATTATGCTATGCATTGGCCAGGGAGTGATTAGTTTATTGTACAGCACACCACGTTTTTAGAAGACAGAATTAATGTCTTAAAATTACTTATTATTTACATTATTTTGCGATAGTTTTCTTCGATAAAAGTACGCTGACGAAATCCGAATTAAATTTGACTCTAACTTAACGTTCAGACCTTCCATACCACGTTTAATAAAAATCAGTCGCTGGAAAATAAAACATTAAGTACTCCCTTATTACAAATGATAGTTATTATGATTATTACTGTTCCTATAATTCCGAATTATGTGTTCATTTTGTGTGTTGAGTGGAACACACGTATAAAAATGATATCAAATCAGCGAAGTATTCAATAAACATATTTACATTTACATTATGTGTTGATGCGCGGTGTAGACTGATAGAAGTTCAGCGACGTTTCAAAGCAACTTGCTGCCTTCATCATTAGGGCGATAAATACTCATCACTGGAAGAAATAAACACCTCTGAAACGTCGGATAACTTCTATCAGACTACAAGGCACTACAACCCAGATGACAGCCATCTTCCTACTCGCCGCCGTAGAACCTCCAATCAGAGAGTTCTATAAAACTGCTGCACCATGAGGAATCTCGTCAGCGTAAGGGAACGGCAGATCTGACGACCTTAATTCAAGTATTTACGAATTGTAGTGGGGATGAAGAAGGTATAACAGGCAATCGTCTGTCTCCTCTCTTACATTCTTCACTAAAGGTCACACCAGTAACGTTCAAACATGTTGGAAAGGAGGGAGGGGATAGGGGGTAAATATGGAACCGAAAAGAAAAATACAGGTAACAAAGCAATTTCGGAAACGACAGTGTCCATTCTAGCTTTATCACAGATATGTGGAAGAGGATAAATTAAAATTCCAACTTGAAAAATATAAATTTTTCCAGACAGAATTGAAAAAGAAATCTAGCCCCTCAAACAAAAAAGAAAGTACAAGGTCCACATCCGAGAGCAACGTAACCACCATATTCTTGGCATGAGTGAATTTCGATACGAAGCAGGAAGACACTGGGAGGGGGGGGGGTGCTGTCGAATACCTGTAACTTCCAGCTAACAGCTTGAGGACACAATAAATTTCATATGCATCACTAACACCTCCACACTTTTAAATACCGAATTTACCAAAATAAAGGCCGACATCAATATCATTTCGTAGGACATAAAAATCTTTGACCGCTTGTCGTAGAATTATGCAAATCCCAGGTCAAATGTGCAATACGTAGGCACGCTGATTCTTGAATCGCTCGGAAATATACAGATAAATTAACACTTCAGGAACTGATACTCCATACTGTCAAAAGGTCAATCCAATCATCGCTACTCTTCTACTCCTCCACCTTCTCTCCTCAACCGAGAACGAACTTTCACTTTCGTTACGTTAGCACTCTGAAACCAGAAAGAAAAGAGCAGCAGCCAGCAGTCCTCTTTTCCTCTTACTCGTTTGACAACGAACAGTTTACTTCTGTGTTACGTAAAGCAGCATCATGTTTCTTCCTTCTGTGTCCTTCGTGCGCCTTCTACGTATTTCTACGCGATCATGATGTCGCCGAAATGAAGACATTAGATAGATGATCTACCTGTGCACATGTTACTTTCTCCTTTTAAAAGCCTAAAACATATAATGCAATCGTTATGAAATATATTATACAATGGTTTGAGATACTTTATAACGAAACAAGATGATTCTTCATCTCAAAGAACGAGAAATATTGAAACAAGATTGTGTAAGATTTTATTTATAACAGACTCTCCAAGTAAAAGTGTTTGTTAAGACCAGACCCGAGAAAATACACTTCATATCATGCACGTGACCTTGAGGGCGAAATTACTCTTATTCTGGGGCTGCATGGGGGTCTTTCGAAGTGAGAGAACACGAAAGAGCCTTGAGATAAAATGTACTTGGAGAGTCGTAGTGAAAATTTAAAATCTCATTTTTATTTATTTGTGGTTTCTTTAATGACGACTTTAATAGCTCACATCACACAAGGATTACTGAATAATACATTTTTGAAAAGTGTGAAAAAAGTGTTCATGGCCTAATTCAAGGTACTGAGTAACTGACAAAACTACGGGAAACTTCAGTAAGGACAGCCGGTTTCCGAACAGAGATGTGGACCCGTAACCTCCCGAAAACGAAGCATGAGTGCTAACCACTCAACCACGAGGCTTTGTTTGTCAGTTCTCATGATAATAATTTTTGTGGCTAAACTCAGCATTCTGTATACCGTATCACCAAATTCTTTTTTACTTTCAGCTGCCTGTAGAAGATGATACGCCAAGTTCTACTTTCTGTATGTGTTATCGGTAAGTTCGTATACAATTTGTAGGCCAGCTTACGCACATAAGTTACGGGCGGAAAGATAAACATACGCTACAACTTACGCAATATATGCGTGAGTTATGTGGCAATGCTCGATCAACTGCACACTTTAAGAAGTGTTTAATAAGAAATCATCAAGATTTGGCCGTTAAAGCCTGATTTGTAAATAAGCCTCTGTTTAAGATTCTAGTAAGATTGTGACTTCACATTTAAGGACCTTTTAATTTTCTTTCAGCACTGGCCTATGTGTACTCCAAACCTACAGTTCTTCACAGGGTAAGAAATATCTATAAAAAAAAATCCGCAAATCAAACCTCAAATCTGTTTAACATTTAACTACTGCAAACCTAACTAACGAACTGTACACCTATAAATGTCTGAATATTGTGTTTCTGTAGCTCTGTAAATATTATTTCAGACACTTCTCAGTTTTTTATATATATTTCATACGCTTAATATTTCGGATGTTGGCTTTATTCTTGTTTTCAGCTTACTGAATTGTTATTATACTAAAAAATTTATAATTTTTAAGAATAACAACATTGCCTAGGATTAAACCGGTGACATTTTCAACACTGTGTCACCCCCAATAGTCTATTGGTTAGCGTATGACCAGCATGCTAAAGGTCCCGAGTCCGATACCACCATCGTGTGGCTTTTTCATGTTTCTCAAAAATAAAGTCTCCTGCAAAGGAGTCACTTGTGAACACTTTGAAGGAGCGTTACGACAGTAAATGTTATCTATTGAAAGAATTTAAGAGAGACTGTTTCCAAAAATGTGTCAAAGAATATCAGAAACGTTTATATGAGTGTATAACGTTGATACTATTGCTCAGAAGTTGGCCACAGTCTCTAACCAATACGAGAATATTTTAACAAAAGTCTGCCAGTCGTCAAAGTCACATCTCGTATGCATCGTGTAGCCCTTTACCAGTTGATCATGAAGTTAAACATGTCAATGTACAGCTAAAATTAAGGATGACAACGTTGTTCTTCTGGATTGTGACGCTGCTTAATCTCATAGGTATATATCAAAGTTTCAAAGAAACATACTGTCTACAACTTTAGCCCTGAAGATGGTGATAGTATATTTCTATAACACGAATCCACACGGCGTCATAACCCAGAGGAACAACATCATCCTCACCACCGCCAGAACCCGAAATCTAACGACTTTAAGAATGCTTGAAGCCTTATTTGGCCCGTGTTCATATTTCCAGGCCAAGCGATGGGAGGAATTTCCGAACCTGACGTTCTCATTCGACTGTTCCGACCGCGCAGTCGGTTTCTATGCCGATACGGAGCACCACTGTCAGATCTTCCACATGTGTGACGAGGACGGGCGTCGCATCCCTTACATCTGCGCAAATGAAACCAGCTTCAACCAAGAATTCCGAGTCTGTGACTGGGAGTATAACTTCGACTGCAGTCAGGCACAGCAGTGGTCAGTAATTTACCATGTCCATGGCCGTTTCAATCAGACAGGCCCTTCAGTTTGTACTCAACTTGACATACATACCTCACTAACAAACCGACACTATCGTAGCAGAACCTGATTGTTCAACATCACCAGTACCACAGTTCACCACTGGTCACTATTACGAAACAGTTCCTAAATCTTCCCTGCCCTTATAACTAAGATAAATTTTAATGGTGTATTCCATCTCCTTCCCACGCAATGCCCGTTATTCAGAAGCCAGATACTGCCTAGAAGTTACAAACCACGACAGCAACTAGGCAGAGGCCTATGGATTTCCCGTTAGTAATAAGGACGTTCGAGAAAACAAAAGCAATGAAAGATGCATATACAGTGGAACCTCGATACACCGGCCTCGTTATACCGCGGCTGTGATCATGTCACCCAATACGATTTCATATATTTTGTATGATTTGAGGTTTTCACAGCGGTGAGTATGAAGACAAAACTCTACATATATTTTACTTATTTCACATGTAACACGGATGCTGAAGCTGTTCGCCGAAACCAGCGTTATATCGAGATTTCACTGTACTACTCAAGTCTATGATCACGCAAATTTCGGACATTTAGTGGCGCTAATATTGGCACTACCTAAAAAATATCAGAGTGTTGCCTGTTTACAAAATTAATGACAAGGAATTAAAATTTCGGAGTAATTAATTCATGAACCCATAGGTTATTAATATTTCCGTCAATTCTACAACTTTCTTATTAATGTTAATAACTTAGCTTAGGTGCTGTTCTGCATGAAAATGCTAATTCCATTGCTCAGACGTCTCCGAGTACTGCCTATTGCAGACATCAAAGCATCTTGTTGCAGGTACTACCTGAACGAGCTGACATACGTCACTGATCCACCCAAGCCCCGGGCACCGAACCCAGACAGCAGATCGGCAGCTGAGGCGGCTTTCCAATAACAAACCAGCGAGTACAAAACAGATTTGAATTTCATTCCAATCCCTTCCAAAGACTGCACGTTGAATGAAAGCAAGGCTGTAAATACAATTCACAAAATATGCGTCGTCTGAAGGACAGATCGTCATCTTCTTCACAACTAATGGGTCATTAAGATGGCGTAATATAACTTTGTTTTATTTTTCATCATTGTTCCTATATATAATAAATGTATACTTATTTTTTTAAAAACTATATTGATTCTTGAAAGTTAATAATCAGTTTGAAAACGTGACTGTAGGCCAAATTACATCATTATGAAACAAATATACGTAAAAGTCACTATTTTTGTCAGAATTAGTACTACATGATATTAAAGCTTTATAAGTTTAAATATTACTTAATCTATTTTACATAATATTAAAATTATTAATGCATGTGACTGTTTGTTGAAATGAGCTGCTCCTGTAATGTGCCAATGTACAATAATTTGTATAGATAAATAAAAGTAATATGTTCTTACGCCTGTCCTATATATTCGGAATTTGCATTAACTATGCAACATACGTATACTTGCACGTCGAAGGTGAACTTGTTATTTACAGCACTAGAATTACATTACCTGAAAAAATGGTACTTCGATTTAATAAACAGAAATTTTCTATTATGTAACACAACACCACAGAAGAAATTCCTGCTTGATGACTTGTAAAGAGTACAGACTATGTCAGGTAATTATATATAACATTTTTGCCCTTTTACGATTGGACACATTCGCGAACGTTTCCGTTAATGAAATGGTTTTGGTAACGAAGTAGAGTGACGAACTTTGTAACAATTAGGTCGTAGGTACCAATACAAAAGGACATAAAACAAAAACATTTGGTTTTGTGGGTAACCTTCAATTATTTTTGATGACTGTAAGTCACTTCTAATCAATTTCAATCAATCAAAATCGTTCAATAAAATCTTCTCGGGCAACCAGCCGCGTTAACTGGTTTACTATGGCAACCAGTTAACGCGGCTGATTGCCCGAGAAGATTTTATTTATTGTACTCGCCGCGAAAGTCTCAAATCCTATATAATCACAATCGTTTCCCCATATATTACTTTGGTTTCGTTTGGGTGTTTTCTGAAGTGACGTTTGGTTAGATTACATTAAGTTAGATCAAGTTACGTCAGATGAAAAGCAAGACAATGACATGTACAGATATATTTGTGAGAAAGGAAGAAAATCAAATTGAAAGCAGTGTTACTTGATGGTGATGCATTACTTTTGAAGTAGACCGACCACCTCCCCCCACTCTCTGTGCTGTTACGCAAGTCATGACTTCTTGCTTCATGCAAACGTCAGACTAGAAGCATCTGCTGCTTTCTTTCGACCTGAATACACAGCACTGGGTTAAACTGCAATTACCCAGGTGGGTGGGGCCTCGCCAGTGGAACCCAGCGCCTCGTCAGTTCTTTGTTCGACATTCATGAAATGAGAACATTGTCGAAAAACGTGGAAGACCAAGGGACTCTCCACTAAAAATATTTTCATTCCGGTGCAATACACCTCCGCAGATAAGGAGGCCAAATAGAACTAAATTCTATCAGACACGGCTCATTGTACTCACTGTACTACAAACTCTAGTTCATTATTTGAAAGGTGCATAATTAGAAATAATATTCAGGGTCCATCACTCTTATGATGGAGGCAGCCAGTGCCTCTGAAACGTCGGTAAACTTCTAGCAGACAATACGGGGCTGCAGCCTACAAGACAGGCAGAGGGAATAGCGCGGCAATTCCTTCATAGCAGAGCTACCACATCGCCAGGACACAAGGGTGATGTTAACAGCAGCGTGACTACAAGCAGAGTGACGTTGTATTAACAAGATTGGTAAAGCAGTGATAGATATGGTGCAGCGGGGACTGTAATTTTCGTGTTCTGCGTCGCGGGACATTTGGCGCAATTTCCAAGCATCAGTAATTTGCTGAAAGAAGTTTTCAGCCGCTGATGAGTATGCAATTTTTTGCGTTCAGTTAGACTTACTAATAAAGTTAGAATGCCATCAAATTTAATTCTCGCAAGGAAATTCAATTTTTCTTTTCATTTCATTGTCCCTGGACCTTTTCGAGGAAGAAGTGATCTAACCTTCCGGACCGACCGCGGGCGGAGAAAGTGCGGCTGTGCCTTACCAATGCACGTCATTGTACAACCTCCTGGCCACGGATCCCTTCCGACTACGAAAGATGTACGATGTTCGTGTGTGCCCGCCAGGCGATTGATCCATCCATCTGCGCATCTACAAACACACACACGCACATGCATATACTCATTCATACAAATATTACACACTGTGGACATGGACAATATCATATTTCTGGATGATGATATTCTGTATTGTAACTTCCTGAAGATGGGGGGGGGGGGGGGGGGGGTTCCTCCAAAACGGAGGTTTCTATCCACAAGACCCTAAGGTGTTACGAACTAAAAGATCAAAATCCTCTTCACCGCAGTGACAGCCTCAAATCTCAGTATCATATTTGTTAGCATATTAACTTCATACCTGAATTTTCCCCGAGTTTGTACAGGAAATAATCATAACGAGCAGGTTAGCATGGGGTTATATCATACTTACCAGCTATTCTAATCTCGCCTGGGTTACCAAGTTCATTTCAGGAGAATGATGGAACAGTAAAATGAACAATAACTTTTTATGTGTCCACTGCAAGTGCCCAAAATTAGAGCGAGATGTGGACGTGTCCGTCCTCGCGTTCAATCTCCAATGCTAATCAACAGAAATCGAGTTAATGATTTTTTTTTTTTTTTGGGGGGGGGGGTCTTGCAAGAATCAAAGAACTGTATGGAGAAAATGCCTTCTTCACAAAGCTAATAGTCGCTTAGTTGCAAGAACCTAATCCAGTTCACATCTATTTATTCATATCTACTTACCTTTATATATTCTACATGACCCAACCGTTCATCAAAATCAGTATACCTGCCTTAATAATATTTTGTATGACAAAATGTAAACTTTATTCGGAAATACGAAAACACGTGCTTATCTGTGGTCGGTTACTGATAAGGACTGCTTCATGTAGTTCGGATCTAGAACACAGTATTTTGCGTCAACGGTCCTAAAATATTCGTCCCACGTGTGGAAGGAATTGGAGATCTGGTAACTGGTTTTGGTATCGCCGGAAGTTCCTAAGTTGATCGTCTTTGTGAATACTTAATACTCAGTTTCGGGGTAGAAACATCACATTAAGTTCATTTTTATTAAAATTAAAATAGACTTAAAGAAACACTGACCAGTTTGTCAAATTATTCGTAAAGGCCAGTTTCTGAAACAAAAATAAAAAATCAACCAGCCGCCGATAATATTAATCTAGTTCAAGAAAGCTCGCTCTTGTCATTTGATTAATGTAAAATTGTAATCCCAAAGAACAAACAATAAAAAGGTTCAAACACTTACGATGATCAGTCTGTAGAATGTTCGTATCTACGATCAGATATAATTACTTACAACAAAGTAGCAGTGAACCGGATAAATAACAAGTATAGCAATCAAGAAGCGTCACTAGTCGGAATCTGGCCTTCATCAACACAGAATCATTATATCTCTTTCGTTGTAACGAGATAAGTGTGTTCCTTCGTCTGCAAAGCGGACTTGATTATTAAACACACAGCATTCAGCTGAGTACTGCAAGTAGTTAGCCTTTCTCCTTATAGAGTGCATTAGCTGCCGCGTGCTTCATCATCAATTATCAATGATTTACACTCATAAAACAAGAATTTACAATTAGCCGATACCCCAAACAGTTTTATATATATATAAGGCAAATATGTTTAATAAGACACCTTCTCACTGCTCAAGAAGGTTACAAGGCCCTATTTATGTAAGATACATTTTAATATTATCAACCTTCCTACTCTTAGATCTCCCAGATGGCTCTTTCTTTCACGTTACCCCATAAAAATTGTATTTTTTTTCATCTGTCTATGCGTGCTTCGGGTTCCGTCCAGTACACTTTATCAAAGTTTATTTTATTTTGAATTAGCGCATAACCAACTAGCAGACCGCGAAAGATCGCTGTTCGTCAGGTAAACCACTTCAGGTCTTGTACCGATACTTCACATTGGAATATATTTTGAGTAAATGCGTAAATAAGAACTTTATTTTATTAGAAATCTTAACAATAAATAAGCTTATTCTGACATTAAATAATGTTTGCCAGCTTGGCACATTTTGTATCACTCAATATATTTAAGATGTGAGAGGAGGGAGGGAGCTGAGCTCAAGAAAATTTCTCTCTGAATATAATCTTGGGTTGAATCTGGAGCCGTGCGGCGATATTGCGGAAAAAGGTTTCAAGTATGTCCGTGTAGACGTGGAGTCCCTCGTAATTCTGATTTCGCTGAGACAAACATAGCGTCACGTTGAGACAAGAAGCAGAACCTCTAGCTGTGAGGTTCACTGAGCAGGAGCCAACTTATGAGGCATCCTGGGAGCCTGTGAAGTGACCGGCAGCCCCTTGTAGGCTTCAGAGGTGGACCCATGCTTTGCGGGTTGTCTTAATCCGGGGTGATGGGGCAATGGTGGTTCCTTCTCGTATCCCAGGTTATCGTAAACGATGACACCGCCGGGACGATTGCCGAACACGAGGTTTCGGAGTGTCATGAGGACTGCGCCCAACAGAACCATGTTGTTGAACATCATAGCTGACGTTACGAGCATCTTGAGGTGCAGAAGAAGATAGGGAA